GTTTATTTTGAAGTTGTCAGATGTTTGCATCATTTAGACAAATACTTCAATACAGAGCAAAAGTAACTTCTAGTTTTCAAATTCATTTATTTGATAGGCATTTCCTGAGCATCTAAAGGGGATAGACAAATATAAATCTGATAATGATAATAGCCTGCTCATAATAGTCTTATAATCTGGTTCATGTCAAAAGCCTTGCATATAGATGATGTTAACAGAGGGTAGAGGGACATTGTTTTCTGTGAAGTTTCCAGAGGACACTGTTGCTGCATGCTAAGGGCCAAACTGTGTTAGGCATGTTGTGTCCTGCCATAGAGGGGAATCAGGACTGGGTTGGAGCTGTTGGTGGTGTTGAGAAGAGCCCTGCATCTGGTTGCTATTGCTGGCCATCCCATCCCTCTGGCTGAGAACAGCATTAGCTTTTGCTCTTGTGGGCCTGGCTGATCTAGTTGGGTCTGTGTGGAAGGCATGGACGGCTCTATTTCATGTATCTCTCTGGAAGTGTTTTTCTCTGATGATTCAAGAGGGCTAACTGAGAAATATGTGAGGTCTTGGGGCTGGAGAGGTGGCTCAGTGGTTAATAGCACTTGCTGTTCTTCCAAAGGACTTCCTTAAGTTCCAGTCACAGAACCTTCATGGTGGCCCACAACCATTTCTTACTCCAGTTCCAGGGGATCCAGTGGCCTCTTCTGGCTTCCATGGGCACTGGTCATGCATGTAGTGCACAGATAAACATGCAGGTGAAAAATGCATATTCATAAATAATATAATATGTGCGGTGTCATAAAGTCCAAAGTCAGAACTCAGGGTCTCTGTCACTCTAGCTCACATGTCATTGGCCAGCAGAAATTGCCAAAAGTTCATGGATAGAAATAGTGCCTGCAATGATATCCTGACTGCGGTACACATGAGGTCAGGAGTAACAACCTGGTACAATCTATGATACAAGCCTCATGATTATATCATGTGTTAACTATTGTTTTAGTTAGCTTTTTGTTGTTGTTGGGTTTTTTTTGGTTTTTCAAGACAGGGTTTCTCTGTGTAGCTTTGGAGGTTGTCCTGGAACTTGCTCTGTAGACCAGGCTAGCCTCCAATTCACAGAGATCCGCCTGCCTCTGCCTCCCAAGTGCTGGGATTAAAGGTGTGCACCACCAATGCCTGGCCAGTTTTTTTCTTTTTTTTATTCTTTCTCATACAATACATCCTGATTGTAGCCTTCCCTCCCTCTGCCCAATCCGCACCACCACCTCCTGCCTCCCCCAGATCCTCTGTTCCTCCATTTCCCTTCAGAAAAGAAGGTCTCCCAGGGATATCAACTGAGCATGGCATAACAAGATGTAATAAGACACAAATCTTCACATCAAGACTGGATGAAGCAACCCTGTAGGAGGAAAAGGGTCCCAAGAGCAAACAAAAGAGTCAGAAGCACCCCCCCCACTCCCACTATTAGGAATCTCACAAAAACTCCAAGCTAACAACCATAACATCTACGCAAAGAATCTAGTGCAGACCCAAGCAGCTTCAGTGATTGTTGATCAGTCTCTCTGTGAGCCCCTAAGAACTCTACTTAGTTGATCTTGTGGACTGTGTTCTCCTGGTGTCCAGCTTCTGCAATCCTTCCTCCCCCTCTTCTGTAGGGTTCCCTGAGATCCACCTAATGTTTGGGCTCTGGTTCTCTGCATCTTCTCCTATCAACTTCCAAAAGAAACCTCTCTGATGATTACTGGTTTAGGCACTTGTCTATGAGTATAGCATAATATCATTAAGAGTCATTTCATTGCTTTTCTTTTCCAGTTGTGTTTAGTTCTACCCTAGGTCTCTGGCCATCTAGACAGGCATGGCTCCCTTTTGTGGCATGGACCTGGAGTTAGACCAGTCATTCATTGTCCAGTCTCACAGTTCTGAGCCACCATTGCTCCAACACATCTTGCAGGGAGGGCAGGTTGTAGGTTGAAGGTTTTGTGGCTGGGTTGATATCCCAGTCCCACCACTGGGAGCCTAGCCTGGTTACAGAAGAAGGCTGGCTTGTGCCCCATATCCTCCATTACCAGGAGTCCTCACTAGGATCACCCTCATAGGTTCCAGGAAGTTTCTACTGTACTAGGCTTCCTTTAGTTAGGTTTTGCATTGCTGTGATAAGACACAACTATGGGGGTGTTATTTCAATTTATACTCAGATCACACTCCAACAGCGAGGGGAGTCAGGGCCAGAGCTTAAGGTTGGAACCTGGAGGCAGAAACTAAAGTAGAGGCATGGAGGAATGCCGCTTACTGGCTTGCTCTCCATGGCTTGCTTACATAACCCTGGACCACCGCTACCACCCACAGTGAACTAGGTCCTCCCACATCAATCATTAATCAAGACAATGCTCAATAAGCTTGCCTATAGGACAATCTTATGTGGGCCTTTCTTCAGTTGAAGTCCCTCCCCAAATAACCCTAGTTTGTGTCATGTTGACATAACACTAACCAGGACAATTATTATTATTATTATTCGTTGTTGTTGATTTTCTTTCTTTTTTTTTAGATTTATTTAGTATGCACCCAGTGTTCTGCCTGCATGTATCCCTGCAGGCCAGAAGAGGGCTCCAGATCTCATTAGAGATGGCTGTGAGCTACCATGTAGCTGCTGGGAATTGAACTCAGGATCTTTGGAAGAGCAGGCAGTGCTCTTAACCACTGAGCCATCTCTCCAGCCCCGTTGTTGTTGATTTTCAAGACAGGGTTTTTCTGTGTAGCCTTGGCTGACCTGTAGACCAGGATGTCCTCCAGCTCACAGAGATCCACCTGCCTCTGCCTCTTGAATGCTGGGATTTAAGGTGTGTGCCACCAGCTCCTGGCTTTTTTTTTTTTATGAGAAAGAACTTCGATTTTTCAGAGCAATTAAAAATATGGCGAGATTTAAAACTAATAGCTTCATAGGGGAGAATGTCACTTTGCATTTCTTTAAACACCCTCTTCTCCAAGCTGGAGGAGAAACCCAGGGAAGACCAAGTGCAAAGGCCGGTTTACTCCTTCAGATCTATGTTGGCTACACTTTCCACGGGAATTTTTGAATATCTAGTTCTAGCTCTCTTTCTCCCTCTCTGTGGCAACCAACCTCCTAAAAATCTTGGCATCTTCACGTACTTTCTTCTCCTTATTGAAATTAATTCTGCAGAAAGGATCTGGCCCACTCACCCAACAGTGGGGAGTAAGTGTAGGAGCAAGATTAAAATCTAGGTACCTCTAGGAACATCTGCACTGGAACAGGAGGGGAAAGAGCCAATGCTCCTAGAAGGGAGACAATTAGCATGCAGAGAGTATAGTAGAGAAGGACCTAGGAACTACCCCAGAGACTCAAAATCACATTCTCTGGAACGTCACCTTCATAGACAAGTTGCCTCCTGGGGTTCAGTAGCAAGGGCAGCATTTCTGTGAATAGCGTAAATTTTGCACTACATATGTTAACATAAATGTTATTGCAAATAATACTATTTATTAGCATAAGTATTATTAAAACATGCCACGGCAAATCAAGTGTATAATTAATTTTACGGGGTTATGGTTCTGGTTCCATCTCAGAGTTGCTGTCTGTGAGAAATAAGTGGATAAAGAGAGCAGGCAGTGGGCAGGAGCTTTCTGAACTGTGTCAAGGTTAATAATAAGTAAAATGTTGTAAGTAGAGACGAGACAGTAACAGCTGTGCAGCATTCTTGGAAGCAAGGACATTGATAGCATGAGGACGGACAGTGAGCTTGCTTTTTGTTGCTTCTTTGGGTGACCAGAGAAGACTCGCAATTGGAGAGAAAACACCATTTATTGTATAAATTACAACCATTCCCATATAAAAGGGAATGTCTACAGCTGAGAAGTCAGGCGCATGCAGGATCATGTTGGAAGAAGACACAGACACAGAGCAAGCCTTTGAGAATGTCCTGGCTGAGATACAATCTTTTGAGCTGCCCATTGAAGCTACTTTAAGGTAGGCTGCCTTTATATTTTACAGTTTATTTATTTTAACTTCATTTCTCTCTTTTCCTTTTTTTTTTTTGTGCCCTGAGATGGTCTCACTCTGTAGCCTAAGCTGGCCTGAAATTCACAGCTATCCTTTTGTCTCAGCCTCTTGAGTCCTAGGATTATAAACATGCACAATTCTTTAAATTCTCTCTCTCTCTCTCTCTCTCTCTCTCTCTCTCTCTCTCTCTCTCTCTCTACACACACACACACACATATATATATATATATATATATATATATATATATTTAGTTTTTTGAGACAGGGCTTCTCTATATTGTTTTGGAGGTTGTCCTGGAACTCACTCTGTAGACCAGGCTGGCCTCGAACTCACAGAAATTGCCTGCCTCTAATTCTATAGGTTTTAGTGGCTCTAAAATGACATGTGTATATCTTCCTTGCACTGCCCCTTCTTTCTTTTTGTTTTGGCTTTTGAGACAGGGTTTCTCTGTGTAGCCCTGACTGTCTTGGAACTGGCTTTGTAGTTCAGGCTAGCCTGGACCTCAGAGAGGCACTAGCCTCTGCCTGCTGAGTGCCTGGATTAAACATGTGTGGCTTCTTGTATACTTTTTAAATATAACAGAATAAAAACACTTTGAAAAACAATCACAGTTCTCTACACACTTAATAGCAAAGTTTTCATATCCTTTAAGATATAAGAATTAAGCTGGGTGGGTGGTGGCTCAGGCCTTTAGTCTCAGCACTTGGGAGGCAGAGGCAGACGGATCTCTGTGAGTTCAATACCAGCCAGGTCTACAGAGCGAGTTCCAGGACAGGCTTCAAAACTACACAAAGAAACCCTGTCTTGAAAAACAAAACAAAATTATAAGAATGAATCTACCTTTTCTTTGTATCGTGTTTGTTTCCTGATTCATGATCACAAGACTAAAACTGTAATACTTTTAAGTGATTGAAAGTGACCCGATATCATCTCCTACTAGGTCTTCAATTTCCATGCAGTGGTTTTCTCTAAAATATCTCAGTGAAAAAAAGACCAGAAAAATTAGACATATCATCAGAACCGATTTATATCTGGGTTACAGAACAACACAGTACAGGACAACACAGCTTGGTTTGTATTGTTCTCTTGAGTGGCATGTTAGCTAAATGCTTTTTATTTCCCTGTAAGACCTAAAAATAGCCTCTTTGGTAATATGGGCAGCCACTGGCACGGTTCAAGCCTGGGATTAAAATGAAAACTCGGGTCTGTGTGTTAAAAGGGTAGCTTTAAACATTTCATCATCTCTGACTGTCTGTACCTGACACTTGACAGCATGGGAACAAATGCCGATTGCTGCATGTGGCAGGCAGTCAGTATTTGTTGGATTATGTTTATAGATTAAAAGGGAGAACATCTTTATGTCTTTTCTTTGTTCTCAGAAAATGTACTGCTTAAGCTTGCATACATTTCTGCTACATGTTTCCATTTCAGTTTGGATCTCTTTAAAGGGTTCGGGGCAGTGTTGGGCCCACAGAAAACTACTGTGTCTTGCTGCCTGGTTCTTGGATAGGCAATGTATAGTTGTAGATGCAAAAGAGCTTTCTCCATGTAGATCACACTGACTGTTCCAGCCAGTGCCTTCTGAAGTGTGTGCCTTTGCTCAGTGGCTGGTTTAGAAGTGTACGGGAGACAAGACAGGGAGTCAAGGCCCCTAAGCATATTCAGTTTCTTCAGTCTCTGCTTCGAATACTGTTGATAGTCCTTGACCTCCAACCCCTGGTCTTGTCCACTTCCTCTCCAGTATCCCAGTCCTGGGCAAAATGTACAGACTATGTCCATCCTTGTGAGACAAAAGAAAATAGACAGTCAAGAGAAAATGTCGATATCTCAGTGAAAGGAAGAAACAAGTCTCATTGTAGTGGCAGATGCCTATAACCCTAGCACTCAGGGGGCTAAGCCTAGAGGGTCAAAAGTTCCAGGCCGATCTGAGCTACATAGTGAGACCCTATCTCAAACAAAACAACCTAAAAATAGTAACAATAAAAAAACCCAACAACCTAAAAGTAAAAACAAATGCAAAAAAAAAATCAAACACATGAGAGAGGGAGGCAAAACTTTTAAAATTCCAAGCATGGGCTGGAGAGAGGACTCAGAGGTTAAGAGCATCAGATGCTCTTCCAGAGGTCCTGAGTTCAATTCCCAGCAACCACATGGTGGCTCACAACCATCTACAATGAGATCTGGTGCCCTCTTCTGGCCCGTAAGCAGACATGCAGGCAGAACACTGTATACATAATAAATAAATAATTTTTTTTAAAAAAGGAAAAATTACAAGCTCTACAGGCAGAGAGGAAGGACTTAAACGGAAGAAGACTGCCCGCAAGAAGAAAAATGTCTCATTGTGAGGTCCTGGATAGTGAGGGAAGGGTTAGGACACCGAGACGATCAGGCTAGGAATCTGTGACACTTTCCCAGGCAAATACCTGTGTGCAGAAATCGAGGCAGGGAAACACCTGAGAATTCTCCTACTCATTTTCCCTACCATGGGGGGAAAAGGAAGCCTTTTCTGCAAACATCCTAAACTCTGTCACTGTCTTCTCTCTGCCTCTTTATTTTTCAGGCAGGAATTTGAGGTGCCCTGTTGAAGAGCAGCATAGGAGCTCACATGATCTCTACCAGTGTCACTTAAGGATGACTCAGTAGCTCTTTGCAAAGCAAGCGAATGTCCCAGGCACATTCGCTTCCCCTGCCGCATCATATGGGAGAGTGAGCCTGGTCTACCTGGGGAGTCGTGAGTGGGTCCTAGAGACCAGGAAGTCTGCAGGCAGGAACCACAGATGACCTTGTAATCCCCCACTTCTTGATTTGAGCAAGCTGCTCCCCTTCCTCCTGCCCTTAGTAGACCCTTGGGCCAGCATCTTGCCTTCCTTTTTGGAAGAATGGCCAAGAACCACACGGTTCTAAGGCCCTATGTTAATTTTCATTGCATGTATGACATATGGTACCATTGGCTGCTGTGCTGTTTGAAGGAGACAGAGAGTTTGAGAGCTGAGACACTACGCTACCCCAGGATTTGACTAACCCGTGAAATGCCCATTATAGCTGTACAAATTGAGTTGGAGCATAAAATTCCAGCGTAGGAAAGTAGAGTTTCATATTAGCCATGGTGGTGGTTAGTTTTAATTGTCAACTTGACAGAATGGAGAATCACCGGGGAAGAAGAGAGTATCAGTAAGGGACTATCTAGCTCAGTGGGTACTGTGTCTGTGGGTGGTTCTCTTGTCTTGCTCGAGGTGGGATGTACCTAGCCTAAAAGTATGTGCTTCTATCCCCTGGTTTGGGACCCTGGACTGTACTAGAATAAATAAAGTGCCTAGTGTTGGTGGTGCATGCCTTTAATTCCAGCACTCAGGAAGGCAGGGACAGGTGGATCTCTGTGAGTTTGAGTCCATCTTGGTCTACAGAGTGAGTTCCAGGACAGGCAGAGCTACAAGGAGAAAAAAAAAAAGAATAAAGAAAAAAAAAAGCCAGCTGAGCACTAAGCAGTCATGCATTCATTTCTCTTGTTTCTTGACTGTGGGCATGGCTAGCTACTTCAAGCTCTCGCCACTGTAACTATCCATCCTGTATGATACACTGTAACCTGGAATTGGAAGCTAAGCGAAATTCTTTCTCCCAGAGTTGTTTCTTACAAAGGTATTTTATTATTGCAACAGAACCAAAACTATGACAGCCACGGGGATGATGACTGAAGAGAAAAGGAGAGATGGAAGGGAAAACGTGCTGCTACCAGGCAGTGTCCTAGCACAGGTTAGCTGGACATTGAGCATCTCCTGGCTGGCAGTAATGGCGGCAGGGGCAGCTCACCAGGTCGGGCTTTGAATTGGCTTTGCTGTCAGTGTCCTTTTGTTTTGAGCACATCGTTTGCACCATGCCACAGTCAGACACGTAACTAACATCCAGAGGATGTTTTCATTCTGTTCAGCAGCCTTGGTGTTTACTCCTGTCCCTCTATTTAGCTTAGACCTACCTGATTCCATGCCAGCTTCTCCCTCTAGGGGACATGCCCCCCCACCAATCAATGGCTGTCCCTGGGAGGCTTACCATCTTAGCCATGTTCAGAAAACTTAGTACCTGTTTTCGTAAGCGACCTTGATAGCCTCCTTGAGCAAGGAAGGTCAACAGATTTCAACTACCATATCATTTGTGCCAACTGTTCCTGATTCGTCTTGAGGATGACCCTAACAAGCTAGTGATGGTAGCTATGGTTTTAGGAGAGGGCAATGGAAGTGTTTGCACATCTGTTTGCCATATTCACATTAGAACTTCCTGACACTAGGCCTCAACCGCCAGACACACCCTGAACGGCCGGATGTTGCCTGGGGTTCCTTAAACCTCCTGAGGTCCTGCAGGTGTGTTCTCAGAACCACAGCACAGACTGAAAATAGGTCTGAAGCGATTTGGTTCAGAAGTCAACCTATGTTTTGTCGCTGGAACAGTCTCCCCGATAAGAAAGTCAGGACAAACTGCGGGTGTTGCAAAGTCAGTGGGAGGTGGAGGGGCAGAGGTGGGGGCAGAGCCCTCAGAAGGCTGGGAAAAAATAGGAGGAAAAGGGATTGTACGGGATGACGTACCAGAAGAAATTTTTGTAATTGTTTTGTGATAGCATAATTGTTTCACACTTGTATTCACAGACTCCCTTGGGCACGTTTCCAAAAGCTGAGCGTGAAGTTTTACCAGTTTGAGAGCAAACAGGATATCGTATTTCTTTGACTTGAATGTTTTTAGGAATAAAGATAACAAATACGCTTTCAGAGAAGGAAAGACGAGTGTTTTTTTTAAGTTCCAAAGTAAATATAGCCTCAATTTTTTATATCTTCAAACCTTAACATTAAAAAGTTAACTAATACAGAATGTTCTTGCTGTTTGTGTTATCAGAAATGTAAGATTTCCTGCTTTATTTTCATTCTATTAAGTATGTTGATTTAAGTAAAATCTAGGTTTTAATGTAGACCACATACATCCACTGCTTGTATGATTTTGGCTTTAGTTTCTGGAGCTATGACACAGAAAGTACAATGCAACTTACTGCAAGGGGTTATTGACTGCAGAGCTTAGCACAATGCTTGCTTGGTGCATAGCAAATGCTTAGCAAACGCTAGGCATTGCATCTATTGTTTGCATCTGAGGCATATATTCCAATAATACATCTGTGTCACATATACACTTTATTTTTAATACATAATTTAGAGTCATAATAAGCCAGCACTTACAACCTTTTGAAACTCTTGAGTAGCTGGGAAATATTAGATCATAAAGTTTTTAAAAATACTTTTGTTTTTATGTGTATGAGGTTTTTTTTTTAATGTTTTTTTGAGATAGGGTTTCTCTGTGGCTTTGGAGACTGTCCTGGAGCTAGCTCTTGTAGACTAGGCTGGCCTCGAACTCACAAAGATCCGCCTGCCTCTGCCTCCCGAGTGCTGGGATTAAAGGCATGCACCACCACCACCCGGCTTGTGTATGAGTATTTGTTTGCATGTATGTCTGTGCACCATGACCATTCCTGGTGCCTGCAGAGGTCAGAAGAGAGCATCCCATTCTCCTGGAACTGGAGTTATAGTCAGTGGTTGTGAGCTGCTATGTGGGTGCTGGAAATGGAGCCCAGGTCCTCTGCAAGAACACAAGTGCTCTTAACCTCTGAGCCATCTCTCCAAACACAAGCAAAGAGAAATTTTTAAAAGACTTTTGTAGTTCTTAAAAAAAATTTAATCACACGACCAGGCAATGTGAATATCAGCATCTTGATACTCTGCACTGACCACAGAGCCTTATAAAAACCCCTTTAAATACCTCACTATCAGGCTCAGAAAGACTTTGACTTTCTTGTGTTTCTGAAGTTTGTATTTTCTTTTTTTAAGACTTACTTTTTATTTATATGTCGATGTGTGTATCTGTGTATACCATATGAGTGTGGGTACCCACAGAGGCCAAAAAGGTATCAGACACATGAGAGCTGGAGTTATAGGCAGTTTGTGAGCTGCCTGATGTGGGTGCTGGGAACCGATTTCAGTTCTTCTGGAAGAGCAGCAAGCGCTTTAACCACTGAGCTTTCTCTTCATCTCACTGTTTTAAAAGGAGTTTCTGGGCTGGAGACATGGCTAAGAGGTTAAGAGCACTGGCTGCTCTTCCAAAGGACCCAGGTTTGATTCCCAGCACACACGTCATCTGTAAATCTAGTCCCTTGGGATCCAATGCCCTCTCCGACCTGGTACACAGACATACAAGTGGACCAAACACTCATACACATAAAAAAAGTTTTATTTATATCTGGGTGTCCCAGTACTCAGAAAGACTTGCAGTAGTGAAAATTTTATTTTGGCTGCATAACATTCAAGGGAAAGAGGTGTTCCTTTAAAAAAATCATATTCACCAATATTTAATACTTAGGGCAATATTATTATCTCATTTATTCTCTAATTGGAGCTGTATATTGTACTACATTTTGTGAGTGTAAGATGGAATTCAAAAAAACCGTTCAGAAGAAAATGTCATAGGTCAGGGAAACGGCTCCCTTGGTAGAGCTTGTCCAGCATACTTGAAGCTCTGCACTCTTCCCAGCACTGGGTAAGACTGGGTGCGCTGGGGGATGCCTGCAATCCGTGCTCTCTGCTATGCAATACGTTTGAGGCCAACCTGGGGGAAATGAGACCTTCTCCCCTCAACAAATCAACCAACCCTAGGCACAGTTCAGTGGTTAAGTATTGCATGGGTGGCCCTGGGTTCAGTACATAGAACTGTATAAATAAGGAAGTAATAGGCATTCAGAAGGAAAGAAAGAAGGGGGCCTGGAAAGATAGCTCAGTGGCTATGAGCATCGGCTGCTCTAATAGAAGCCCCAGGTTCAATGACCCATACTGAGTGGTGGTTCCCAACCATCTGTAAATTCAGTTCCAGGAGATCCAATGCCCTCTGCTGGCCTCCTTGGGTACCAGTAACATACTTGGTGAACAGATATACATACATTCAGGTAGAACACCTATACATGTAGCCTTTTAAAAAGGGAGGAAGAGGAGGAGGAGGAGGAGAAGAAGAAAGAGGGAGAGAGAAAAGGGAGAGAGAGAGAGAGCGAGAGAGAGAGGGGGGAGGGAGGGAGGAGGGAGGGAGGAAGGGGTTGGTGACAGTGACTTACTGCGTTTATTGTAACTTGGCAGTCTGGGATCCTTGACTGAAGCAAACTGTGTAGTCAGCCATTGCCGTGGGGTTGGGGATGTGGCTCAGTGGTCAAGCACTTGCCCAGCACTGCAGAAACCACAATAATAACAAAACCCATGCAATAAAAGCAGTTGATGAGTGAATCAAACTTGGGGCTGACTACTTTCTAACTCCTTTGAGAACTGGCCCATGTTTCATGAAAAACTGATTTTATTTGGCTGTAATGCCAGATTTCCTTCTATTGTTCTCCACGCTGGGGTCCTGAGCTTAATGGGAGTGCGGGTTCCTGTGCAAGGGGTTTGCAGCAGGGATCCACCCTGTCCCTATGTTGTTTATTCTCATGCACTTACAAGGCATGGCCACTTGGGGTCACTGTACTCAGAAAGTGGAAGCTGGAGATTCACCCTTGAGGCAGGCTATCTGGAATCATCTAGAAGCCAGCTGGAACTCTTAATTTATTAGAGCCAGTAGGGTTTATATTTTGTTACAGTTCTTTATATATTGCAATTATATTATAATCATATATCTTTAAGGAGCGGCAGAATGACATTGGCAAATCTCTTTTGTAACCCCCAAGACAGGATTTCTCTGTGTTGCCCTGGCTGTCCTGGAACTTGCTCTGTAGACCAGGCTAACCCGCACTCACAGAGATCCACTTGCCTCTGCCTCCCAAGTGCTGGGATTAAAGGCGTGAGCTACCATTGCCTGTCAAGGTGAGCAAATCTTGAGAGCATAGAGATCATGCATTTATTAAAGGGTTCTCCACTGGAGGAAGGGGTTTTTAGTAGAAATATTCTTACCCTCATGGAACAGGTTTTTACAGCATTAAGGGTACCTGGACATAGTTACATCTGAATCACCCACATAACCAATGTTAAGTACACACAAGACTCTGCCTGGGCAGTGAGTGTTGTCCTGGTGTCTGCTTCAGGAGCATTGTCTAGAAGTGGAGCTAGATGCCTTGGTTTGTACCTCAAGGGATGGGCACTGATCCCCAGGACAGGGAGAGATGTGTGCCTTCGTAATACTAGGTTCAGAGGGCCCCATGAAGTGTTTCTGGAACCACGAGGTTAAGATAAAGACATATTCCATTTTCCTCCTCTTTGATAGCAGGAAACAGATTTTATAAGGTTTCTATTGAGTAAACTTTCAGAAATATCAAGGCACAGGATCTGGGAGTCCTGATGCCCAGCCATGTAATTGTGGCAGTGGTTAGGAAAAAGAATGATTATGCCTTGCTTTTTATTTTTATTTTATCAAGGAGGAAGTTATATTGCTGTCCTACTAAGTGACAAATGCCTGGTAATTTTAGTCTCCAATGCCAATGTTGATAGAACTCTAACTAAACACTATACATATATTTTCTCTAATCCACACACAATTTGATGCACTAGGGACCCTTATTGTGCCTACTCCCCATTTGAAGAAATTGAGGCTTAGAGAAGTTAAGAAGTCCCTGAAGCCTAATATCTACTAAGAGGTCACTTGGAATTTGACCCCAAGCAGTTAAAGTGCCTGACTAGGTCACCTGCTTCCTGTATTCTCTTAAAGGAGATGTCTTCTTAAGCCCGGCTTAGTTTAGAGAAGAGTGGTTAAAGTGTAAGTTTTTTGTTTGTTTGTTTGTTTTTCGAGACAGGGTTTCTCTGTATTGTTTTGGAGGCTGTCCTGGAACTTGCTCTGTGGGCTGGCCTCTAACTCACAGACATCCGCCTGCCTCTGCCTCTGGAGTACTGGGATTAAAGACGTGCGCCACCACCGCCCGGCTTAAAGTGCAAGTTTTTAATGACTACAGGTTTCCCATGTCAAATCTGCATTTGGCTGGTTAATTTCATGCTGGACAGAGAATGAGATACCACTGTGACAGTCTTCCTGGCATCTTCTTGGTTTATCTTTCCCCTCACTGAGGAGAGATTTTTGGGTGGGTCTCCAGCAGTTACTATCCATTGCGAGTGCCCTAGCCTCTGCATCCCGCCCCTCAGAGCAGCTAACGGAACCATGTGCCCTTGGACAAGCTCCCCACCCTCCTCTCCGTATTCCTTATACTTACACATGATTGACGTGTGCAGGTGAGCTAGTGGGATGTGGCTCAGGGCAGTGTTGCCAGACCACCCAGGTCTGTGGCTGTAACTCAGGTTCATCGCACACAGGAAGGAATGAGAGCCAAGGGAGGACCTAGGATTGCTCTTCAGTGCCAGGAGGGAAAGATAAAGACCCTGGAGCTTATCTGGGAAGATAGGTAAAGGGCTTATGTGTAAGCTTAAGGCCCTAAATTCAAATCCCCCAAACGGATGTAAAGCTGGGTCCAGTAGCCTGGTGGCCCTGTAATCTCTGTGGTCCTGTTGTGAGAGGGGAGGTAGAGACAGGAGCCACCCTGCAAGCTCCCAAGTCAGCTGACTGGTGAATACAATGGTGAAAGACAAAGAGGCTCTGTCTCAAAACATGTGCAGGGTGAGAACCAACACCCCAGGCTGTCCTATGACTTTCACAAGAGTGCAGCTACACTCACATGGACTCTCTCTCTCTCTCTCTCTCTCTCTCTCTCTCTCTCTCTCTCTCTCTCTCTCTCTCTCACACACACACACACACACTCTGTCACACACATACACTCTGTCACACACACATCTCTCTCACACACACATTCTCTTTCTCACACACACATATACATACACACTCTCACACACAAAACACACACTCTCTTTTACATAAATATACACACACTGTCACACACACACTGTCACACACTCTCTCTCACAAATACAAACTCTATACACACTCTTACAGACACATATATTCTCTTACACACACACACACACACACACACACACACACACACTCATACAGAAGGAACCAGGATATGCCATGAATCAGTAAACCCAAAATATATAGACAAGTTTAGCTTTGAGACAGGTTACTGATCCTCTCCTGGGAGTTGGGTGTGGTGGGAGGTGGGGAGCTTTGCCATGGCCTCTGTTTCCAACAAGCAAATTCTGTTACACTGTCAAGAGTGTGACACTTGGGCTGGGTGTTGGTGGCGCACGCCTTTAATCCCAGCACTCGGGAGGCAGAGGCAGGTGGATCACTGTGAGTTCGAGACCAGCCTGGTCTACCCAGCGAGTTCCAGGACAGCCTCCAAAGCCACAAAGAAACCCTGTCTCGAAAAAAAAAAAAAAGTGTGACACTTACCCAGCATGCTTGTGGTATTTTCCAGACCCTTAATTTAGTAAAAAACAACCAACCAGCCAACTGACTGACCAACCAAACAACCAAAACAAAATCCAAGACAGAAAACTTAGTTATAAACACAGTTAGTTTTAAATTCTTAGCAAAAACCAATAACAAAACCAGAACAAAACAAACAAAATATAAAGCAAAACCCTTTAGGCACTAATAGAACTGTCCAAGGCCACAGAGAGGAAGCAACAAAAGCTGCTTTCGAAGGAGAAGTGGTCAGTGGACTGACTTCCTTCTGTCCTAGATTGTGCAGAAGACAGCATACATAGTACTGGAGTGAGGCAACTTCTCTATCAGGGGAGGAAAGGGGCCCAGTAAGAGGCGGCTTCAAGCAGCCCTACTTCCCAAGGGGAGCATTTGGAACTGGGTTTGGAGAGACGGTGTCAAGATTTCAAAGGGAAGGGAAAAAGTCTGTGTCGCCAATGCTTAGGAGAGGAATACCTCAGCAGGAGGCAGTGGCTAACAGCAAGCTGGTCTGTCCAACATGCCCGTTGGCTTTACTCTATGGAGCAATGCATTCTGGTCATGCATACTTTCTGAACCAAGATGCTCTGTAATTTGCTTTACCAGGAACTAGACATTTATTTCTTTGTAGGAAAGAGAAAATTTGTCCTCATTCTTTCGTGACTTAGTTTTCAGTTTTCTTTTCCCTTTTCAAGAGTGGAACCTAGAAGTAGGGCGTGCTAATACCAGACAGGACTGCCTGCAGTTAGGGTGTGCTAATACCAGACAGGACTGCCTCAGTAGTTGGAGAAGCAGTCTGCGGAGGGAAGTCTAACTTGTTTTTAATAAAGACCCATTTGTATGAATAGCCATGAGATGTGTAGCCTCTGACAGAAGTTCATAAACAGTGTCTCTCACATTGGAGCTCTTGATAGACTCGGGCATCAGGGGTTGCATTTGATCTTCTACCCTGCAGCACAGGCTTCTATCAAGACGACTAAATACAACAGCATTATGGCATGTTTAATGTCAACACACAAAAAGCAACTTTGAAGAAATTGCTAATAATTTTACAGTTTAAACCAGGCAGCGGTGGCACATGCCTTTAATTCCAGCGCTCGGGAGGCAGAGACAGGCAGATCTCTGAGTTTGAGGTCAGACTGGTCTACAGAGTGAGTTCCAGGACAGTTAGAACTACACAGAGAAACCCTGTTTTGGAAAACAAACAACAAACACAAAACAAAAAGCAAATAATTTCATAGTTTACATTTCTAATTGGTACCAATCGCAGGGCAGCTACCTTCTGCCCTTTGTCTAGACCTATTTGGACCATTTCTTTCTAACTCATCCTAAATTTTTCAGTTACTTCAGAACTACAACTTTGTTTGGTTTTAATGAAAAAAAGTTCCCAAAGCTTTCTCTGCTATGTTTAGAATTCCTATGAGGAATTATCAGTAGGTGAAGGAAAAAAAAACTCAAAAGTTATATGAACTCTAGGACCTTAACACTGTGTGACAATAGTGGTCGTCCAGAGAAGAGACTTTTTTTTGCCATTCATATTCTGGAAGCACAAGGAGATGGGATTTCCCATTGAAGGCTGTATTCCCTTGCACCATCAAGACAGCGGGAAGAGAAGTGAGGCTTTGGTGGCTTCACTTGGACTAGCAACGGGTTTGGTTTCTGATGAAATGCACTGTCAGGTGTAGCAGATTCTCTGGTTTCCCAAGCCATTGTGCACTGAACACTCAGGTATGTGAAATGAATGACACTTGGCTGGAGAGATGGCTTAGCGGTTAAGAGCACTGGCTGCTCTAGCAAGGGAGCTGGCTTTGGTTCTTAGCACTCACGTGGTGGGTAACAACTAGAGTTCCAGTGGCAGGCGATCTGACACTCTCTTCTGACCTCAGTGAGCACTTTACTTGGTGCACAGACACACATATAGAGAAACAGTAGTACACATAAGTAAATCTTTTTGGAAAAAAAAAAACCACAAGGCGGATATGGTGGCACACGCCCCTAATCCCAGTACTTGTGAGTCAGAGGCAGTCAGATATCTGTGAGTTCAGAGCCAGCTTGGTCCATGGAGTGAGTTCCAGGCTACCAGAGCCACACAGTGAGAAAGCCACAGCAAAGGGTGTAATAGCATTTAGAAGCTGGAAAAGCAAAGGGACAAATTTTTTTTCCAGAGTCTGGAAATAAATGCAGATGTGTTGGCACCTGGATTGTAACTCAGTGAGACTCCTAAGAGAATACACTTGAGTCATTGTAAGCTCTGACTTTCGTGGTAATTTGTTACAGAAATAACAGTAGTAAATATAACCCAGGATAGCAGCATAAGATAGACACTGCTGTTATTGGTATTTATAGATGGGGAAACTGAGAAAGAAAAGGATTATGTTTTGCCGGCTGTCACAGGCTGTGAGGTGACGCCAATGTGGTTTGGGACACTCCTCTTCAGAGCTCATGTTTTAGGCTATTACGCAATTCCATCCTCCTATTGGGAGGAAGAAGGAGAAATGCGTGCAGGAGAGGCCCAGGAAAGGGAGCGAGTCTGGCAGCTGCCTAGAGCAAAGCCTGTCTGACTCAGAGGGAAGCTCAAAGCTCCTGGATTAATGGGAGCCAGAAAATAGTTGTCCCTCAGGGTAGGTTTGAACTCTTTTCTGATTAATCTTCCAACATTGCTTTGATCGTGACAAACAGGTTTACACGATGTCCTAGATACAGGTTGTTAAGCAACACTCTTTTTCCACATGATTCCTTTGCTCAAGTCACCTGCCATTTCTTTCAAGCACATCCCCACCTCCACCCCCAGCTACCACTATCTGGGAGCACTTGAGGTCAAGAGCTTTGCCACTAAATGAGACTTTGCCCTAGGCTTCTTTTTATCCTGACAGCAAGTGCCTTTTCTTGTTCTTCTTTTTTCCTGATGTTTAATAGTTGATGTCCAATATGACTAACCTCAGTGAACTTGCATCAGGAAGAGGACACGATCTATTCGGGGCAACTCGTGATATAGAATTTTTGTTCGTTCCTAAAATAAATCTTTACGACCCACACTCAGTTTTGATTTTCGCGAGAGCATTTGCCTCTCTCTGACTCCCCACTATTTTTTTTTTTTTAACGAGACAGGGTTTCTCTGTATTGTTTTGGAGGCTGTCGGTCCAGCCTGGCCTCGAACTCACAGAGATCCGCCTGCCTCTGCCTCCCGAGTGCTGGGATTAAAGGCGTGTGCCACCACCGCCCGGCCTGACTCCCCACTATTGAAAGCCCATCAGGCTCTCTGGTAGCTTCTATCACAGAGTAAGCGTGACTAAGGGCCGCCTCCACATTGCTAAGGTACCTGCAGCGCGCAGCTGAGCTCTGGCAAGTGCTACACTAATATACGGGTCTAGATAACCAGGGCGGGTCGCGAGGAAAACAGAAGGCGGTGGCCTTTTCCCCTAGGGTCAGCGCTACCTCCCCAGGGGCGGACCCCACCCTCTGCGCCCCACCCTAGCAAGCCCCGCCCTTCCCCGCAAACCCCGCCCCGCAGAGCCTCGCCGCGCTTGCGCCACCTGCCGCTCGCTCCTGTGGTCCGGGCGGCGCCGCGCTCGGCCGGTGCCTCCGCTGCCAGCCAAGATGGCGGAGGGCGGCGAGGCTCTGGGCACGGTCCCGGAGCACGAGCGGATCTTGCAGGAGATCGAAAGCACCGACACCGCCTGCGTAGGGCCCACCCTCCGGTAAAGCTTTCATCTGCTGCACTTTCGGGCCGCCCTGGCTAGGGACTCCTTAGGAGCCGGGCGGGGCGACTGCTGCCGGGTGCGCGCGCGTTGGCCCGACAGGTGGTGCGCGCGGGGGCGGGCGCTCGTGGGCTGCGGGACCCGGAGGGCCGGGGCACCTGTCACCGCGTCGCCTGTGGGTGTGGCTGCTGGGGTGTCTCTGACCCGGGGAGCCGCCCCAGCCTGGGGCCTTGGTGTGCCAAGGCCCTGACCCAAGCGCTGTGTCTGCGGCGAGGCTGTCGGCTCTGTGCTGGGGACGAAGGTCACCTGCCGGCGGCCGGCGTGACTGACCCGGGTGCCAAGTTGCGCCCTGGAGGAAACCCAGGCGCACTGACTGACTGCTCCGGGCGTGGGAGAATTGAAATTGAGCGGGAGACGCCGACACCTTTCTCCCCCGTTGCAGCACCTTTCTCCTCCGGCGAGACGCGAGCGTGGGCTGCAGGGGAGGAGCCGATGGCTTGGGTTCACGCTGGGGTGACGATGCTCTTGGGACAGGAAGCTTTTACTTATTGACAAGCATTATGTTTAATTTTGCATTACATTTTCACTTTATTTTTAAAATGGATCCTAACCCACTCTGTTTAGGAATAGTACCAGGTAATGAATCTTCCCAATAGAATATTAGTTGGTACGGGTACAGAACCATTAACAGTAGGTTAGACACTCTTCAAGAATTAAGGTCTTGTGTTTTGCAGTTAGTATGAATGAACTTGTTTTTTTAGGGAATTTGAGTCGAGTTGTGCCTTGTCAATAGTCTTTCTTCAGGCTACACTTCCTGAAAACGGAACTCTGTTTTCTCGACGTTAAGTATAGATAAAATGAAGTCAGTTCGAGTTGCAAATTCACTACCTCAGAGTTCCAGTTCATCTGGTGTACTTGGTTTCCTTCCCATAGACCTGCCACCGATGACTCCAAAAATCGTTTAACCCCCTTGGCCCTGTTTCCGTATTTGTAGAATGGGAAGGAGTGTTTAGATGCCCAGAAAGCTCAAAATATGAGAGACCTTGCCTGTTCTCTGCTGGGTCATTACCTCAATAGACAGGTTATATGTTTTTATTATACAGAGTTCTGCTATGATATGGGAAGGCCTCATTAGTGCTTTTTAAAAATTTTACTTACATGAATCTTTTCACCAAACTTTCATATATACTAGTAAAAATATGAATCAGATTCCAAGGAAACTTGGTGACTCTAGATTCTACTGAAGGACCCCAGTCTCGTAGAAGGATAGCCATTTCTTAAGTTGTTCAGGAAGCAATTGCTTTGTGATTCAGTACTGCTTTTATTTGCCACAGATCAGAAAATGTACTTTTGTTTTTGGTAGTTGCCCATCCAATAAGGGTGGAATGGAAAATGAGTCCTTATTTTGTTGTGTGACTCCTGGTGTTCAGGAGGCTGGAAATCAAGTCTCTTTGTTGGACCCTACAAATAACCCCATCACCCCATAGCAGTAGAGGTCACCAGGTTTAAAAATGAGACTGTGTCACTATATGGCCCTGGCTGTCCTAGAACTCACTGTGTAGACCAGGCTGGCCTCGAACTCATAGAGATCTACCTCTGCATGTTGAGATTAAAGGTTTGTGCCACCATTCCTGGTTAAATTTTAAATTGAATATTGTCTAAGTAAGAGTAGGAGCTTTTTGGAGGGGGATTAATTTGAGACAAAATAGCTGTGTAGCCTGGCTGTATTGAGCTTGCTAAATAGACCAGGCTGGTCCTGAATTTATTTGTAGCATGCTCTGCTTCTGTTTCCCAACTGTGGGGATTACAGGTTTGCACCACTAAAACAATGGTTTTTCTTCGAAACCAATGAAACACTAGTGTACCCTACATTTAGGTTGGCTGGGGAGATATTCAAAGGTTCCGATGTATACTAGAGAGTAATCTAGTGACTGTGCAGGTGCCTACCGTAAAGCTTTTATGGGATGTCAGTGTTACATCAGATTTTTTTTGTTGTTAAGAACTAGATTATAGCTGGATGGTGGCAGTGCATGCCTTTAATCCCAGCACTTGGGAGGCAGAGGCAGGCGGATCTCTGTGAGTTTGAGACCAGCCTGGTCTACAAGAGTTAGTTCCCGGACAGCCTCCAAAGCCACAGAGAAACCCTGGCTCAAAAAACAAAACAAAACAGAAAAAACAAGAAAAGAAAATACAGAAAGAAAGAACTGGATTATAGGTAGGGTCGTGATTCCTGCTGTAGATCTCTCAGTTATTTTCACCTCACCAATACCGGTGTACCTCATCTGATGAGCTGAGCAGGGTCTAGCAGAAATAGCAGAGGAAAGCTGAGTTCTCCCTTGTTCTCTCTCGGAATTTATTTTATTTTATTTTATTTTATTTTATTTTATGGGTATGACTGTTTTTCCTGCATGTGTGTCTACACTACATATGAGCCTGGTGCCAAGGGTGTCAGGTCTCTAGGAGCTGGAGTTATAGATGCTTATGAGTCCCCATGTGGGGCTGGAAATTGGACCTGGGAAGACGAGCCAGTGTTCTTAACTGTGAGCTTTCCCTCCAGCCCCTGAGTTCTCTCCTCCTGTGCTGGGGCACAGATCTTCTGTCTTTGGGCACTGGAGCTTCTGGAATCCTGTACTCGTGAACTCATAGGAGTTCCTGTGGTTCCCAGGCCTTCTGTTTTCCTCGGAATTGTGTTCCTTGTCCTGATTCTCCAGCTTACACAGAGCCTGTCATGGCAGTTCTTACTTTTCACGATAGAACAATCCAATTCTACAATAAGTTCTTTTTCTATTTCATCTCCTTCCATCCCTCTGTCCCTCTCTTTCTTTCCCTTTGATGAGGGGGGTCTCTCTGTGTTACTGAGAATGGTCTCCAACTTCTTGAGCTCAAGTAATTATTCTGTTTCTGTCTCCAGAATGCTGGAATTACAGTGCGTGTTAGCATGTCCTCATATGGGTTTAATTTTTTAAAACTTTGATGTAACTTACTATGGTTGTGTGTGTATGTGATATACCCTCCTGTGTGGGTGTGAGTGTGTGTTGTGTGTGTGTGTGAGTGTGTGTGTGTGTACTTGGTGTGCATGGGCACGTGCCATTGTGTGTATGTGGAAGTCACAAGCTTTATTTGGATTCCAGGGGCTGTGCTCAGCCTGCCAGGCTTGTACAGCAAGTGCTTTTACCTACTGAGCCATCTTGCTGGTCCTCATTTTAATTTCAATGCAGGAATAGTGTTAGCTGTAATCCATATAAACAAAAGCTTTGTGGACTTATTTCTGTAAGTTTTCAGAGTGTGGAAGAGGAAAAAACTGATAGTTACTCTTTTTTTACCCCCCTGAAACACTGTGTAGCCCAGACGGGCCTGAAATTCATGATAATCCTCTTCTATCAGCTTTCTGAGTGTTGAGGTTACAAAGATTGACCACCAACTCTGGAAAAAAACCGTTAAAAACACACAAAAGCACAGTTTCATTCTCTGTCACCGTTTTTCCTAGTATTATTTTTAATTATGGGTCACAATTTCAACTTTTGACCAATGAATGTGTCTCATATCAAAACTACTGGGGCATCCAGGTGTTGGTGGCGCATGCCTTTAATCCCAGCACTTGGGAGGCAGAGGCAGGAGGATCTCTGTGAGTTTGAGACCAGCCTGGCCTACAAGAGCTAGTTCCAGGACAGCCTCCAAAGCCACAGAGAAATCCTGTCTGGAAAAACAAAACAAAATAAAAACAAAACAAAAAAAGATTAGGTGTATAGTTGTAGTCATGTGCCTTGTAGAGACATTTTGATTAATGACAGACTTCATGATGGTAGTTCCATAAGATTGTAAGGGAGTTGGAAACTTCCTGTTAGATAGTAATTTCATCATTGTGGTGATGTCATAGTACAATGCATCAATGTCATATTTGTGGTGAGGCTGTGGTAAAGAGATCTACTATGCTGCTGGTCATATAAAAGTAAAGATATATAAAAGTAAAGATTGAGCCGGGCGGTGGTGGCGCATGCCTTTAATCCCAGCACTCGGGAGGCAGAGGCAGGCGGATCTCTGTGAGTTCGAGGCTGGGCTGGACCGACAGCTTCCAAAACAATACAGAGAAACCCTGTCTGGTAAAAACCAAAATAAATAAATAAATAAAAGTAAAGATTGTACAACTGTATGCTTTTTTTCAAGACAGGATGTTTCTGTGTAGCAGCCCTGGCTATCCTGGAACTCACTCTGAAGACCAGGCTGGTCTTGAACTCACAGAAATCTGCCTGCCTCTGCCTCCTGGGTGCTGGCATTAAAGGCGTGCGCCACCACCGCCTGGCCAACTATATACTTTTAAAGAGGCTGTTAGAGGTTTATTATTTACACTTTTGAAAATTGTTTTATTCTTTAAAAAGTTTTATTTTTTATTTATGTGTATGTGTTCGTGCCTGCCTTAGATTAGTGTACCATATGAATAAAGGTGCCTGCAGGAACTGAAGAAGGTGTTGGCTCTCTAGGAACTGGAGTTACAGGCAGTTGTGAGGCATCTGTGGCACTGGGAACTGAACCTGGGTCCTCTGGATGAGCAATAGACACTCATAACTCCTGAGCCATACTCTAGGCCCAAGTCACCATTTTAGATTCAGCTTTTTCTGTGTAAGGAAGCTGTAAGGCGGTGTTAGGTCCTAGGAGGTGAAGCATTGTTGTTAAAGGAGATCACAGCTCCGTGTATGGTGGTGTTGCCCCCAAGACCTTCCGGTGCGGCAGGATGTGGAGGTGAAAGATACTGCCATCCATGGTCCTAGGTAGACCTAGGCTCGTGTGTGTGTGTGTGTGTGTGTGTGTGTGTGTGTGTGTGTGTGTGTGTTTTCTGTTGTTGTGTGTGATAGTTGGTATCCAGCTAAGGTCTCCTGCTTGCTAAGCAGGTGGTGTCCCATTGACTTATGTTCCTGTGTCTTATTTTTCAACCAAAAAGTAAAAAAGAAAAAAAACAATAAAAGAAATTAAAAATATGTAGCTAGATGTGTAGTAGGCTGTGC